CCGGTAGCATCTCGAAAGCATGCGACAAACACAAAGGCGACGAATATGCTAACTGTAAACATTAACCAACCTTTGCAGCGGCGTCGCGGTCGGCTCCTCTATCGGCCACGCCATCGGCGGCATGTTCAGCGGCGGCTCCTCGGCTCCCGCCGAGCCCACGGCCGCCGCGCCGTCCGAGCAGGCCCAGAACAGCCAGTGGGGCAACAACTGCGCCGGCGCCACCCAGAACTTCACAAAGTGCATGGACGAGAACGGCGGCAACATGCAGATCTGCAACTGGTACCTGGAACAGCTCAAGGCCTGCCAGGCCGCCGCTAGCCAGTACTAGAGGAAGAGGTCGGGCATGTCCAGAGCCTGGTTGGATGCGCGTGGACATTATATGGAAGGTTGCGAACCGGATCATAAAAGCCAGGCGGACTCTGCATAGACTGGGCCTGTGACAAAGAAAGAGAAAGAAAAAAAAGAAGAAATCAGAGTGGAGAAAAGCTACGCCTCGAGCATCTGAACATAGCGGCGTGCAAAGCCCTCACTTCTCCTTTTCCCTTGTGCTCTGTAATATTACACTAGCATTGGACGACTCCGCTCCACATCATATACATACACCTGATGAGACCAAGGCAGACTTGCTGCAATAGCTGATCCAAGACCCGTGATGAAAGAATGATCATTCCTCATCGGGCCTCGGCTCAAAGTTGAGCTGGGAGAGGAAATGTCAGCGAGGGTGGAATCATAAAACAGAAATAGGGGTCACCCAGGGGGGTATGCCTACCGAATTGCCATTGTAAAGCTGCTGATCTCTCCTGTCGTCGTTGAGGTTGCGGAAACCAGTGACCCTAGCGCTTCCTTGCTCCTGCCGGCCGGCCGGGTTCGACGGCTGGTCCTGCTGCTGACGAGAGCGATCGAGCCTGGCCAGTCTAATCTCCTCGTCGGCCTGAAGCTGCTCCTGCCTCGTCGTGAAGGCGCGGAAGAAGAGGATTACAGGGTTCAAAAAGCCGAGGATCATGGCCCACAGACCAGCGAGCAGGCCGCCGGAAGCAGCACCTGGGCCGCCGTAGGCCGTCGCGAACCGGCGCACGGGCACGAGGATCAGGGTTGAGGACGGGGCCAGACCGAGATCCGCGAGCGACTGGTCCTCCTCCGCCTCCTCGATGGTCCGGTTGGGCAGCGGGGTAAGCACGATCTTGAAGAGATACGGGTCCTTGGCCTGGCCCGACGCGACGCGGCTGGCGTCCACCCACTCCCTGACCTCCTTCCTCAGCGTGCCGCCGCTTGGCAGGCGCGTGCGGATGGTGGAGCCGTCAAAGTCGCGCACCTGCAGCGCGCACGTCTTGCTCTGCCTGGACGCCGCGGCGGCCGAAGCACTCCCTATAGCGCCCGCCGGCGGCTGGACCGCCTCGGCTGGACTGCTGCTCGCGGCCACGTTTTGACCATCGTCGCCGGCAGCCGCGGCTCTCCTCTCGGCCTTGCGCTGCTCGTCACGCTGCCTGCGCACCGCCTTGTCATGCTCGATCTGCTCGAGGATGCGTCGTCTCGCTTCCTGGCCCTCCAGCCTGCGCTTCCTGTACTCATCCGAGGCCTTTGCCACATCGGCGTGCGGCTTGCCCGCCTGCGGGGCCGCGCTATCACTGTTTGGCTCAGGCTCGGCCCTTCCTTTACCCTTGTCCCTGCTGCTGCGCGGCTGCTGTTCCGGCTGCTCATCGTGGCTGCTGGACGCCGGGGTGTTCAAGGCGGAGCTGGATGTGCCGCTCGAGACGTTTCGCGTGGAAGCATCAACGCCGGCTGAACGATGGCCCGCAGGCGGCTGCTGGGGTTGCTGTTCCGGCGCAGGCTGTGCCGGGTCACTTGGCTGCATGATTCCCAGCGACTTGCGGACCCTCCTAAGGAACTCTTCTCTCACGGTTCCGGCAGCTATGTACTCCTTGAGCTCACCATTCCTTTGGGCGAAGCTGATCAGTACGCTTTCCTCATCCTGGAGAGTTGCTCCCCTTATCGGAATTTGCACCCACCTGATCAGGACGAGCGTCGGAGCCTTGGGGATAGGGAATATTGCTGCGAGATACTTTGCTTCCTCTGAGCCTGCCTTCAAGCGAAGCAGAACGGCTTCTGCATTTAACGGATATTCAACCTGGGGAGGAGTGCACGTGATCAGACGTTGATGGAGGCAACATTCCTTGGGGATGGAGATGTCATTGAAAGTCGGAGAGGTGCTTACCGAACTGTCCCTAAGGAAGTCTTCCTCCCATGTCTTGCTCTCAGTTTCGTCGTCTGGTGAAGGCTGGGGTTAGCATGGCTGGGAGTATTGGGGATACGTCAAGACCTAGAAAGAGACAGTCCATCTTCGCAAGATCCTACCTGTGACGAAGCAAACGACCAGCTTGGCCTCTTGCACGGCGGCGGCAATGCCCTCCTGCAGAGTGCCCTCAAAGAACATCCTGGCGGATGTCGCTGACTGGTCAAGAAAGACGTGCAGAGGAAGAGTTTTGGTTCAACTGTCTGCTAGTCAACAAGGTGCTATGGCAAAAAGCGACACGCAGTTGTTGGGGGCAGCGCCAAGGGGTCGTGGGGGGACGCCAGGGATTGGACGAGCGAGTGAGTGAATTTGGCTGTGAGGGCCCCGAGGCTGGTGAAAACGGCGGGCTAGTGGAGTGCGTGCTGGAATGAAGTCGAATGGATGTTTTCAGCGGGGTGGAATGAGATAGGTTCAGGTCTAGTGCGTCCAGAGACCAAACAGAATGCGAAGAGAAGGGCTCAACGTCGTCACAGTTGACGTCGGCAGGAACTTGAAGCTTTGATGATGTAAACGTGGTCTAAGGGAGCTTCAGTTGTCCGCCCGTGCAGCTGTCGGAGCTCCCTGTAAGCTCTGAGCTCCAGGGGACCAATCAGGCAAAATCGCATCAATCAATTGATTGACGTCTCACCAAACCGCCCGCGATTTCCAGTAAAACCCGCCGCCGCACGTGGCTTGGTGGGGCTTTCGCAAGCCCCAGCCCAGCGCAACTTTTGACGATGTCACACCAGTTTGGGACGCCAACGCCCGCCGCAGCCGTCGAATCCGAACCCTCCCGTCACCAGGGCCACATATCTATGCCCTCCCTGAGGCCAATGCGCCCGTAGCAGCCTCGAGAAAGCCGAAGCCGACCAGACGTCGGTGCCGAGAAAAATGAGGGCGGCAGCGCACTGCCTCCTGCGGCCATCGGCGGCGGCGCAAAGAGCTGTAAGGGGCCTGCAGCGCCTGAGCCAGCACCAGCCGCCAGGCGCCGCCCGCCCGTGTCCGCGGCCGACGCCACGCTTCACGGCCCGGCGGCCCATATCCTCGAGCTCCAGGGCGCGGTCGGAGCAGAAGCAGCCGGCCGACGACCCGAACTGGACGTCGGTGATAGACAACCCGCCCGAGCTCGTGCGATCCGGGAGGAGGCATGGCCCGGGCCTGATCATACTCGGTACCGCCTCACTTCTTCCTTCGTTCCTTCTTCCTTCTTTCTTTGCGCAAGCCCACAACAGCAACTGACAACTCGCACACACGCCTCGCAATCAAACAGCCCTCATCCCCATAACAGCGCTCGTGCTGGGCACCTGGCAGGTGTACCGGCTCAAGTGGAAGACGGATCTGATCGCAAAGTGCGAGGACCGGCTCGTGCGGCCGCCGCTCCCGCTCCCGCCGCGCGTCGACCCGGCCGCCGTCGAGGACTTCGACTACCGCCGCGTCTACGCCACGGGCCGGTTCCGCCACGACCTCGAGATGCTCATCGGCCCGCGCGTCAAGGACGGCGAGCAGGGGTTCATGGTCGTCACACCCTTCGAGACGGACCTGCCCGACGGCTGGTCCCAGCCGCCGCCGCCGCCGGTGCTGGTGAACCGCGGCTGGATCAGCAAGAAGCTGGCCGACCAGCGGGCGCGCCGCCGCCGGGGCGGGCTCGTCGACGGCACCGTCCGCGTCGAGGGCCTACTGCGCAAGCCGTGGAAGAAGAACATGTTCACGCCCGACAACAGGCCCGACAAGGGCGAGTTCTACTTCCCCGACGTCGAGCAGATGGCCAGCCTGACCGGCAGCCAGCCTATATGGATCGAGGCGACGATGGGTAAGTTTAGGATTTCATTTTATATACTTCCAGGGAGCGACTTCGGTTCGCGCCCCTGACGCTCACCCTTCACTATCGTGATATCTCGTTACAGTCATACTGCGTTGCTGACCACGAAACCCGCCTTTCTTTCCCAGAGCCTGGTCTTCTCGAGGTCCTAGATATGCAAAGCAGGGGCATCCCGATCGGCAGGGCCCCTGAGGTGAATCTGAGGAACAACCATGCCCAGTACATTTTTACCTGGTAAGCACCTCCCTCCACCTTCTGGCGTCCTACTTGTTGGCGTAGTGCTGTTGCGCACTGCATCTTCTTTTGCACGTGTCAACGCCGCTTTCTCCAGCCAACCCCATGGGCATGGTCGCTAATGCTTCCTGTCACACTGCAAGGTATGGCCTCGCTGCCGCCACGTCTGTAATGTTCTGGATGGTGGTCAAGAAGCCACCATCAGACGTAGCCCGTCGCGTTCGCATGAACAAGGGGTGGTGACCCCGAGCCCAGGGCGTTGGCGCGCTCTCACGGCATGCGATATCATCATCTTGGGTTGGGTGCGGCGTGGGCGGAGCCCAGATGCTAGCAAACTAGAGGGTGGCAGCTCCTGTTGCTACCCCTTCTTGACCACCTCCCCCAATCAAGTCTCGTCGTCGTCGTCTGCTGCGGCCTGACGAGCCTCCCGGTGGCGCTTTTTGGGGGGTGCCCGAGGTGGCATTCGTAGCTCCTGCAGGAGCTCCCTGGGCAGATGCCGTTGGGCGAGCGAGAAGACGGTCGTCTGAGAGTCGATCTGCCGTTGCCTGAGGATGAGGCAGTGGGTCTAGTCAGCCTCTGGCTACTGAAAACAATAATGTACGAATAATCTGCACAAAGTCCCGGAAGCAGCCCCTTTATACAGATATACCCAGATATTTCGTCGATTCGGACGAATGAGAACAATGAAACGTACCTCTTCATGAGCATGGCCACGTCACTGGTCTCGATCGTCTTCCTCCCGGCGTGGTGGGCGAGGGCGCGGAGGTCGTCGCCGACCTGCTCGAAAAACCAGTCGGTCGCCTGCATGAGCGCGCGGAGCGTCTCGGGGGTGATCTTTGCGTTGCCGACCACGCCACTGGTCCGGGCCATGGCCTCGGCCAGGCGCTTGACCACTGCGGGAGGCAGCGACGGGACTGGGTTCCCGTGCTTGGACAGCCGGAGGCCCTTCTTGTTGGGCTTGTCGGCTTTGATCCCGAGCCTCTCGCCCGGCCTCCGCGCCGCGGCCGCGGCAAAGGCTGCTGTCGCGCCCGACGTCGTCGCTTCCTCCAGGTCGCCGTCGACCGAGGCGGCGTCGTAGCCGTTCAGGTCATGGTCGTCTGCATCGGGTGAGCCTCGGCCCGGGTCTGGGGAGGCCAGGGGCGAGTTTCCGCCATCGTCGTCATCGTCGCCAAACACCAGGCCGGGAATCTCGGTGGTCTCGTTGATCTGAGGCTCGAGTCGGAAAGGACTGTCTACGTCAAGCGGGACCTCGATGGTGCCAAAATCGCTCTGGCGGCCGGGCCCAAGCGTCTCCCGCCGACCGGCAGGTGAGTCGAGGCTGCGCAGCAGAAGAAAGTCTGGTTTAGCACGCACACGTCCTAACATGTGAAGGGGGGAATGTGATATATATATATAAAACAAAAAAAACACACCGTTCATAAGTATCGTCGTCTCTCCTCGCACGGTCGCCGTCGTCCACGTCATCAAAGAAGGGCGGCGGCATCACGCCGCCGGCGTCGTCGGGCGGGCCGAACTCGTCCGACAGGTCGAGGCGGCCGCCGAAGAAGTCGCTCATGCGCAGGCTCTGGCGGTCGAAGCGGCCCCAGCCGCCCGGCTGCTCGCTGGCGGCGCGGCGCGGCGCCTCGACCGAGAGCGCCGTGTGGTCGTCCAGCAGGCCCGAGATCTGGGGGCGCTGCAGCTCCGCCTCGTCGTCGTCGCCGGCGTCGATGGGCAGCGACAGGCGCGGGCGGCGCTTGATGAAGCCCGAGTCCGAGTCTTCGTCGTCGTCGTCGTCGTCCAGGAACATGCCCGACGGGTCCCGCTGGCGGCGGCCCACCTCGCCCGCGATGCTGCTATTGTCGTCGCGGCGCGGCGTGTCGCCGGGGGAGGACGAGGTCACGACGCGCTGCGACAGGGGCGCCAGGCGCCGGCTGAGCGTGCGCAGGGCGTCGAGTGGGCCGTCCCCTTTGCCCTCGACGATGCCGCTGCGGCGCCGGTCCCGCGCGGCGGCGGCGGCTGCCGAGGCTAGACGCCCGCCGCCACCGCCGCCCTTTTTTGCGGCCTGGCGTGTTGAGCACGGCGGTGCGGCGGTCGCGGAAGGTCTCAATAGCGCGGCGGGCGTGCGGGGTGGCGCGGCCGGCCACCGACGGCGCCCTGAGGCGGCGTGCCGACGCGGACAGGCCGTTGCCGCCGCTGCGGTTGTTGTTGTTGGCGACGGCGGCGACGGGCCGGTTGGTTGGGGTGCGGTGGGGCACGCTGGCGGCACGGACGTTGCGGGCCAGCTGGCCCGGTGTGCGCACGGCCAGACCCTGTTGTTGTTGTTGTTGTTGTTGTTGTTGTTGTCGCGCCGGCGGGTACCGGGGCCCGGGGGTGGCGGCGTCCCCATCGTCGGCCGCCGGCGTTGCAGCGCTGCCGCCGCCCGCTGCTGGGCGGACCGGCAGGGACATTGCTCGCGCGGTTTGTGGTGGCTGCTGTCGGCGGTTGCTGGTCAGACGATCCAGGGTCCGGAGCACCACGCCTGCATCCTGTTCCCTGTTCGTGGTCTGCCTTTTCTTGCGCTTGCGCCGGTTACTGTCGGGCCGGGGCGCGTCGGCAAACGCGATTTTGGTCACGCTTTACCATGGGCTGCTGGGCTGGAGCTACGCGTCGGCCGGAACTGGGAGGAGCCAATGTGGGCCCGACTCACTTGGAAACCCACACCTGAGAGCTCGCCCTTCGTCCCAATCGCGTAGGGCATTGCTTTAGTTGATGGGTGCACGGGCCTGTCAAAAGCCTCTGAACATTGACCTGGACACAGCTTCGAGAGCGCCCGAGCTGAGCTGCGCATCCATTGGTCCTCAGCTGCCCGGTGCCAGACCCTTCTCCAAGCGCGGCCATTCCACATTCATGACATGTGCATCGAGTCGGGCACGCATCTCGATCTCGCTGCCATGTCGTGTCTGGATCGGATTGTTCGTCGCTCACGGGACCAGCATTACGAGTCTGCCCAGCCCCAGCCTACAGTACCATGCACTTCACGTGCGAACAAAAGACTAGGGACCCTGATTCTAGGCAGCGCCAACCTATGTACCGCGTGCCGTCGGCCGGCCGCCAGCGATCCAACCCCTCCTCCTGGCTGTCGGATCGCCGCTGGGGGGGCCCATGGAGGCAGCAACAGCAAGAAGCCGGGGGGCGGCTGTGCTGGTGCTGATAGGTATCAGGCTACGGGGTGGCCGCACGTTCCGGTCGTTGGGTGGCGGCGGGGTCCCGGGGGTAAGGGGAGGGGGGTTTCGACGTTTCGATGCAGTCTACAGACCGTTGATGAAACAAAACGTGGCATGTTCCGCCAACCCCAGTTGGGTCCAAGAAGCTCTCCCACGATGCTTGGCCGAACGGGCCAGCGTCCGGGCGCCTGCCAAGGGCTTTCCGTTTTTTGCGCCCCTCGTGCTCGTCCTCGGTCGGGTCGGCTAGCAAGCTCGGCATCGAGAGGAGCGTCAAACAAAAGCGCCACTACTCGGGGTCTTTGGCTACGGCTCACAACGCACGAGCCTCGGATCGCGATGGGACTGCCGCCCCGACATGGAACGGGAGGCTGCTCTCTTCTGGCGGCAACACGCCTCATTTGGTCCACGGACTTGGCCGTGGGTGCTGGTTGAAACGACGAATCATGAACCCTATCCAGACCCTTTCTAGATTCGTGCCAACTCCGATAAGAGCGAGCAAGAATAGGAGTAGGGGGAAGATCAGGCGAGACCCCCGGCCATGCCGTCTAGAACTCGGAGATGCACAAGAATAAAACAGGACAGCTCTGTAACGAGGCGTGCATCATATGAAGAAATGCGGGCGCACCGCCATGTGGTTGGCCCAGTAGCAAGTAGAAACGTCCAGTAGGGAAGCCGAGCGGCGTGGGCGGGCGTGCTTCCTTCTGGGACTATGACGTCCAATCGTTTGCGCTCCTGTCGAGGTGACGGCCAGCCGCCGCGGGCCTGGAAGGGGGCACCCCAGATCCAGGCGGGCGTGCATATCGCATCCATGTTGGGGGCAACCTCATTCCTTCTTCACTAGCGTCATTCAACCGGATTCCTGTTCGGCTCCGCTGCACCATTACTGCGGGCCTTGCGCAGCCCGAGGGGTTGGTTGGTTGGTTGGTTGGTTGGTGAACCGCAGGCCACCTGCTGTCGATATTTGACTATCAAGCTTTGCTCTCGCTCACACAGACTTCCTTTGGCAAGCTCACCAGCTGATTCCCCATTGGGATCTGCTGTTTGTTTGGATGGCTTGGGTGACAAAGGACGGTAGCATGTGCCCGAGGAGAGACGAGGTCGTATTGACGCGTGCAACCTAGGTCCCTACTAGGCACGGCATGCGAGCACTTTGGCGCACTGGCCACCGTCTCCTAGCAAAGCTGAGAGCCCATGAGACGGCGTCACGCCTCTAGAAGAACCCACCAAAGATAGCCCCGGCCGGGGCGCGAGTCGATGATGCCTCCCCGCGAGCCGCTAGCGAACCAACCCCCTTGAGTGGATGAAAAGAGGAAGGAGCAGCCCCTTTGGGCCACCCATCGAACGTCGCAACCAACGACTCCAGACCCTGCGCTGCTCCAGCCGCCTGGTTTTTTGTTCTTCTTTCTCTCGCGGCTACTTTGGCAAACAAGACCCAATCAACCGCGGTCCAGATAAAACAACTGACCGCTCGTGCCCAATGAATGTGCCGGCCTGTTTCCTGTTGCGGCTGCTAATGCGGGCCAGTATGGTCACGAATGCGGTGTTAGTCCGAGCTATCAGCCTCTGGGGAGCTTGCGACGGCGTTGAAGCTGGTTGAAGAAAGCTACAAAGCCCTGGGCCGTAGTGCAACATGCAGTTCCAGTTCCAGCTCCAGCAGGCACCGGGGAATTGATCAATTGATGGTCAACCTAAGCTCCAGAGCTTGGGAGCACAGACGGACCCCATGGAAGCAGGTGCCCCTGCATCAGAGCTTTATCAGAGCTTCCACTGCATCTCTCTTTTCGCTTCCCCTCTATCTCCATAAAAATCCACGACTCTGCGATTGTGAAACTTGGTCCAGTCGGCCATCGCAGGTACCTGATCGGCTTGTAGGAGCTTTAAAAAGACGCAAGAAGCCCGCCCTGTAACCCTAGGGGCGCAGGGCTACTGTACATCATTGTTCATCGTCGCGGCACCTGTTATTGCTTTTCCTTCTCTGCGCCATTCCGAATTTCTCGTAAGTACTTGTTGATGCGACCACGAGTCGATGCTTCACTTCCAGTCCGGCAATCCTTTCACTCCACCACATCCGCCAGGCAAAAGGGGTAAAAGGGAGACATGTCCAAGAATAAAAATGGCCAGCGACAACATGGTGGCTGTCTGCAGGGCATGCTGAAGCTGCAAGTGTTAGAGCACCTCCTTTGGCAGGCCGGCATGTGCTTCACCTCTCTCCTCGCACAACCCCCCTCTTCTCTCCCCACTTGACGTCCCACCAAAAGAGGCTGTTCGGCCGCTTTCCCGCCCCCCGGCACCCCAGGGGTCACTGGCGGCTGCATGCCTGCCTGACAGAGGGAGGGGACGGAAGTGCCTATGGGAGTCTGGGAGAGTGTGCCTGTGGATGGGCGGACAGACGGGCAGGGCAGGTGGGCAGATGGTGCCGGCTGTGGACTGGCTGGCGACGCGGGCTGGGTCGATCGGGCGGGCGGGCAGGGTTCATTGGCGATGGATGGATCATGAATGGATGGATCATGGATGGTCGGGTCACCGCCAGCCACTCGCCTAGCAGCGCCAGCCAAGCCGACGTCTCTCCCCATTCTCTGGCATGGGCGCTGCACTGCACGGACTGCCTTCCCTCCTTCCCCATCCCCAGCACCAGCACCAGCACCAGCACCGCAAGCTGCGGCAGCTATCTTATCAGGGCCCTGGCCAGCTTCCACCTGCGCTGCGGCCGATCCAAGTCGGGTTCCCAAGTCTAGTCCCCCATCCCTCGCCCTCCCCTCAACTTTAAACGGCAGCATCCCGTCCCGCTGTTCCAAAACATCTCTTCTAACTGATTGATGCAGCTTTTTCAACAACAATCAACCCAACGCACCCAGAGCCACCGCCCGCAAATACAGGCTCCATTGCCACCCACCCAGACCCGCCGCCCGCTGAGAGCACCCGCTACAGTACAGTAGAGGCACCGCACTGCACCTGCACGCTGCACCGAAAAACCCGTGCAGTCCACAGTCCTACACCAGCCTCCACTGCCTCTCGTCCTGAACCAAGGGAAAAACACTTTGCGCCCACACACCACACAGTCTCAGCCGTACTCCCACCACCTCGGCCTTTGAAAACCGCCCGCCGCTGCCGCCGCCTGCACCTGCTGCTGGCTCATCAACCTCCTGCCTCCGGTGCAGTTTCCCGTCAAGAGCGCCACCGCTTCTTTTGACCTCACATCCCAAAATGGCCGCCCCCGGGGTCCAGTCTCTCAAGGTACGTCGCCCCGTCCCGATCCCCCTCTCCTGGCCCTGCCAGCGCTTACCCGCGCCCTCGAGGGCGAGCGATCGAACCGTTGGGCCCGCGCGTCCAAACAAAGAACCCAACCTGGTCCCATGGTCCAAATGCTGACTTTTGCGCTGCTTCTTCCAGTGTGTTGTGACCGGTGACGGTGCTGTCGGAAAGGTTAGTAGCCCATTCTGGCTCGATTGAATTGCCGCCCACCGGCCCATCGCTCCTTCGACATGCAAACGCAGAGCCACGCTCTGTGTTTGCCCAGCTCGTCCAAACTCGAGGGCCAGATGCGCACAAACCCGCGACCGCACCCGTAATCGTCCCCTGAATACAGGCGCGCCTTGCTGACGCCCTTGCATACAGACATGCCTGCTCATTTCGTACACGACAAACGCCTTCCCCGGCGAATACATCCCCACAGTGTCAGTGCATTTCGAGACGCGTCCATCTTCATTTCACATTGCCAGCATATTTACATACATCCGATTCTAACTCGTCTCGCACCGGCAGCTTCGACAACTACTCAGCTAGTGTCATGGTCGATGGCAAGCCCATCAGCCTGGGACTGTGGGATACCGCCGGACAGGAAGATTACGACCGTCTGAGGCCGCTTTCGTACCCCCAGACGGACGTCTTCCTAATCTGCTTCTCCATTGTCAGCCCTCCGTCGTTCGACAACGTCAAGGCCAAGGTCAGTCCAGACCCCTCCTTAGTCGCCTCTTCCTAAAGCAGGGGCAGCCTCTTCCGCTCGGGCCCGCCTGAGAAGACGCCTAGCAAAAGCTTCATGTCGCGCTAATGCGTTGGGCTACCGCCTCCTCTACAGTGGTACCCAGAGATCGACCACCACGCTCCGAACGTGCCCATCATCCTGGTCGGCACCAAGCTCGATCTCCGGGAAGACCAGGGCACCCTCGAGAGCCTCCGTTCCAAGAGGATGGAGCCTGTCTCGTACGACCAGGCTCTCATCTGCGCCAAGGAGATCAGGGCGCACAAGTACCTGGAGTGCTCTGCCCTGACCCAGCGCAACCTCAAGAGTGTCTTTGACGAGGCCATTAGGTACGGACAACTGTTTTTTTTTTTTGTGACAATACCCTACTGCCCTCGTATCCGTTGCCTCGTAGAGGGAGCCCCCAACGCACCCAACTCTGTTACTGACTCGCTATCTGTCCCTTGATGCAGGGCCGTCCTGAACCCTCGACCCCAGCCTCAGAAGGTGAAGAAGTCGAAGTGCACGATTCTGTAAATCCGCTACCATCCGATTCTGGCCTGAGACCCTCCCGACCTCGACTTTAGCGCGTGTGCCAAGTCCCGTGCTCGCATCTCGCACCAACTTATCGCAAACCCAATCTGGTTTCGACACATTGGATGGCCGACTGTCCCATTCGGTCACTTTCCAGACGATTACTCCAGAACGCAAGGAATGAAGCAGAGATCTTGACCCACCTCACTATTGTCAGCATCGGGCTCCAGTCGAGGCAGGTCGCTCGCGGCGATTTCTTCAGCCGTCGAACATTGTTGGTCGTTTAAACCAGCAGGTCTCGGGTCAGATCTCTGGCTGTCTTGGTTGCTGTCTCGGGTTTTCATCTTTTCCGCGTCTTTTTATGCAATACAGGGTAATGGTGTTGGGTCATTTTGCCTCTTTATCGTTGCTCTCTCCTCACGGTCCTTTTTCTCCCTTCATATCCTGCAGGTAGCAAATTTGCATTCAACAGAAACCCTTCATATCTTTTTTATTCCTTGTTTCTTTTCTGATTTCTTTCCTTGCCGACATCTGAGGATCGCTCCTCCTTTTTTGATTCCCCCCTGTAGATAGCGAGGATGTCGCCGCCTTTTGAGGCCTCTTGAAGAGATACGAATGGGAAGGTCGGAGGCCGCAATGGGTGATATAGGGAGATGTGGGCCAACAAGGGAGGCAACGTGATAAAGACAGACAGCAAATGATGCCTGTGTCTCGACGGCTGGGCGGCAGTTGCAGCTTAGGGTATACGAACAGGGTTGACGCCTCGGAATGTGTCCTGCACCGGAGAGGTCTGCCAAATGATATACATGCGTTATCTCGGATCACGTCTGAAGCTATTTGACAGTCGTCGGAGCGCACGAATGAATCACATACCCTGGCAGTATGGCACATGGCAAACGGTGAGCGCACGGGGACCGTTCCAGCGCTTTCAACAAGTGGACATGATTGTATACATCGCTGTGTTGTGCGACGCTCCGACTATTAAGCCACGACGGGCAGGCAGTGATACATGAGAGAGAAAAGTAGAATAGTGAACGAAAGTGGCGTTTCGAGGCACAGATAATGTCCCCCCCTTGTATTTTTTTTTCCTGTTCCGCACTCATCATCAAGGTCGTGATGAGGGTCGCCTCTCCCTCTCTTCCTCCCTTCCCTCGGCCTTGCCCGCTTTACTGACGATTCATCTGGGCTCTCCTGCTAGGGTGGATCCCGTCCTGGTCGTCCTCCTTCTCCTTGGCCTCCCTCTCGGCCTTGACGCGGCGCGCGCGCTCCTCGTTGAGCTTCTGGTTCTTGGCCTTGATCTTGTCCTGGCGGCCCTCGGTCTTGCCGCCTCCTCCGGCGCTGGATAGTATTTTTTGCTCTGTCAGTAAAAGGAGGGTCTAATAA